ATATTATTAAAGGCCCTGATGTGAACGAGGTTTACAGGTGCCACTCCCTCTCATCCGGTTCTTTATCTCAGATGAACAATACAACTCTACATTGTCACCTAACAACATACATAGTTTCTGGTTCTAATGAACATCCACAATAGACAACCATATTCCTGAATGCCCAAACACGTTCTCCTTTCTTTTATTTATAAACACGTATTGAGTGTGCAGAGAATATGTAAGGGATTGGATCGAATCTCTACCCTCACGGAACAAATCCTTAGAGGACTGATTGATTTGCAGCTCTAAATCAAAACGATCTTCCCTGTTTAAAAAAAAAAAAAAAAAAATTCCATGTCCGTCTTTCAAGTACTTTCCCAGCCACCACGCTGTTGAGTTTCCTCTTTGTTCATCCACACAACATAATTAAAGTACCGCAAACTTCTTCTCCAACCTAGCATGAAAACACTTACATTTAACTAGAAAGGGGAAATCAAATTAAGTATTGAAAAATAGCACAACTGTCTGGTCACCGGCCCTTCACCCCCCCACCCCCATCAGGAACTGACTGACCGTCTGCCTCTGGCCAGCCAGTGGGCACTCAGAGGGACATCAGGCACAATAGTGTAATGCTATGAGACGTATCAAATGTGTCACACGAGCCCATTGCCGTAGAGTCAATTCCAACTCATAGTGACCATATAGGACAGAGCAGAACTGCCCCACATGGTTTCCAAGCCTTCTAATCTTTATAGAAGCACGCTGCCACATCTTTCTCCCACATCAATGATGGGTTTGAACCACCGACCTTTCGGTTAGCAGCCAAGCTCTTAACCAGTGTCACCAGGGCGCCTTATGTTTTACACGAGAGAGTAAAATTATATTACCATGAATCAACAAAATCCCTCGTAGTATATTAAAATATACATAATGCATTGTTAGTACGCGCGCTGTTATTATTATTTTTTCTTTAGAACAAACTACAGTGACGTGGTCAAAGGTCCCAGATTTGGAGTTGGGTGGTGTGGGTTCTAGTTCTTCCACCAGCCAGGTGTGTTACCTTGGCCAGGTCACCTTCGCACTTTAGATTAGATTAGGGATGGTACCGTTTGCCTGTCGCCCTCTAGAGGTACTGTAGGATTAGATGAGAGAAGTTGTTAGCAGTCAGGGCCTACCCGTGTTCTGTTTACTGCCAGGGAAGCTGCTTGCTCGGACCACACCTGGAACCGACTATCATAGGTCTGATTCCTGGGAAAGAGACTCTGAGACAGAGGTTTGTGTTAGGAGGTTTCCTGGGGGTGAGGGGAGCTGGACTGGGTGAAGGGAGTCCTCAGACTGAGAAGCAGCTGCAGTAAAGACCCCCCCGCAGATCCTCCCTGGAAAGCCTGGAGCTAGGCCTGCCCTCCCGAGATGCCCCACATTGAAGCTCAGGCTCTTATATGACTCTGTTGACCTGCCATTGGATGAGGGCTGTGCAGAGAGGTGCTGTGAACGTGGGCAGCCCTCCTGAGCTGAGGGAAATTCCCCAGGAGCAAAACGGAGCCACCAACACTCCAGTAGCTTGGAGGATGATGACTCCATCCAGAAGGGGATCTGGTGATACTAGAACTGTCACTGCACTCACCTCTTAAGAGCAGGAGTTAGCAGGGAGTTTCTGTGCAGCAGTTATGGGTGATGGTTGCACAACATGATTAATGTAATTGGTATCACTACATTGTACACCTCAAAAATGTTGAGTTAGCAAATGTCATGTTAGATATATATTTACAACAACAACAACAAAAAGAAGCAGAATTTTCAGAATGCTTCCCAAAGCAAAATCCAACTCTATGCGATATTCAAGAGACACTCCTACAAAGTGATTCAGAAAGGGCTAAAAATAAAGGAGGAGGCAATGGAATACCAGGCACTTAGAAGCCAGAGAGGAGGGTTGCCTCCTTACTGCCGGCTGGGGTGGAATCCAGGCTACCCAGTGGCCTCTGCTGCCCCCGAGGGGAATGGGGTGGCCTCATCACTACTCGATGGAAATGAGAGTCCCGGATCTCCAGTGGGCCTCCTCTGACCCCCAGCTAGCATCGCAGGGTGAGAGGGGCACCTGTCCCTGTTGGGTAGGGGTGGAAGTTGGCTCTCCACCTGGTCTCCGCCTGACAGGGAGTGGGGTGGAGGGCAAAGACTGGAGATGATGGGAGTCCCAGTTCCCCACTCTGCCTTCTCTGACACCACCCTGGTAGGCAGGGCAAGTGGTAAAGGGCGGTGGGGGGTGGCAGAAGTCTCAGCTTGCTGGGGGGCTTAGGGGCCAAGTTCTTCCCATGGTGTTTGGCTGGAGTAGGGCAATAATTATCTAAAAGTTTTCTGTTTTGCTAGTTGCCCCTTTCACGGTGCTTTAGCTAGAAATAGGAGGCTTTTCTGGTCTGCTGTTTCCAGATTGCAGGCAATTCTCCCTGCTAAGTGCATTTTGATATACAGATCACGGAGTGTGGGGCAGTGGCTGTGGCTTTCAAACTTCAGTGTTCCCAACAATCATGGAAGTGCTTTTGGAAAGGGCAGCTTCCAGAATCCCATCCCTTGAACCCCAACAAGAGGAAAACTGATTGGAAGTTCACGTGAACCTTTATTTACTTAGTCTTAAAACTTCAGTCCTCGCATGTCAACACTTGTTTACATTAGGGATTTGTTCAAATCCATAAAATGCTAGAGTTTGGAAGCTGCTAGGCTCCCACTTTCACGGCACAACAGATACAGTTAACGGACAGATGAACTTTTGAAAAGGAGAAGCTCTAGCAGCCCAAAGTTATTTGGAAAAACTCCTTTATTTGTCTGGAGCACTTGCATGAAATAAGATGCTAGATGCTAAAATCATTTTTCATGTGACTGATAATAAAGCTCGTCAATGACAGTTAACATTTGATTTGAAGATGCCATCTTCCCCAAATTAACTAGTAATCACATTCCATCAATTTCTACTGTGCATAAGCAGGGAATGTCATCCAAATAAACATCACTATCATACTTCGCCAAGGGCAGGTCAGTGAAGGGCTTGTTTGTGATGGTTGGCTCACTGGTCAGACTTTCATCTCGGCACTTCATGGTCGGCTCCCAGACTCCTCAGACACTGCCCTCCTCCCCTGGGGACTTGACGACACCATATTCTCATCTGGTACGTGCTACTTACTGACAAAGGCCAGAAGAATTTCTTGGAGATGGGGACTCATACATATATATATAGTACTTTAGATGAAGGTTTACAGAACAAATATTTTCTTGTTAAACAGTACACATATTGTTCTATGACAATGGTTAACAACCCCACAACATGTGAACACTGTCCCTTCTCGACCCTGGGTTCCCTATTATCAGCTTTCGTGTCCCCTCCTGCCTTCTAGTCCTTGTCCCTGGACTGCTGTGCTCATTAGTCTTGTTTTGTTTTATGGGGCTGTGTAATCGTTGGCTGAAGGGGGAACCTTGGGAGTGACTTCATTACGGAGCTGAAAGGGTGTCCAGGGGCCACCATACTCTTGGGGTTTCTCTAGTCTCTGTCAGACCAGTAAGTCTGATCTTTTTTTGTGGGTTAGAATTTTATTCTACATTTTTCTTCAGCTCTGTCTGGGACCCTCTCTTGTGATCGGGGACTCATATTTTAAACATACATATATATATAAAACCATTGCCGTCTAATTGATTCTGACTCATATCGACCCTCTAGGACAGAGTAGAACTGCCCCATAGGGTCTCCAAGGCTGGAATCTTCACAGAAGCAGACGGCCGCATCTTTCTCCCATGGAGCAGCTGGTGGGTTTGAACTGAGTTGGAATTGACTCAATGGCACACAACAACAATTTTAAATTTGACTACTGAATATTTCCTGGCATGCCAAAAGAAAAAAAAATTATGCTCAAGTCTGTTTCTTTAAAGATAACTTTGAAGGTAGCGACTCTAGTACTGGCTGATATCTGCTAAGGTAACAGAGAAATTAGATAAAGTGGATGCTGACCTCCTCTTCTGGGGAGACGTGGGAATATGTCAGTCCTTCTTGTGTACTTTTCAGGTGTTGTGTGTACTTTGCAGGTTTCCTGTAACGCTTTGAGGATCTGGGAAACAGACTGAGAAAATGACCATGTGAGCAACTGGCAGCTCAGCGCGCCGACACCCATGGTTCCTCAACCGTGTTTTAAAACCAATTGCCATCCAGTTGGGTCTGACTCTTGGAGACCCCATGTGTGTCAGAGCAGAACCATGCTCCATAGGGATTTCAATAGCTGCTTTTTCAGAAGCAGATCATCAGGCATTTCTTCTGAGGAGCCTCTGGGTGGACTTGAACCTCCAACCTTTTGGTTGGCAGCCGAGTGCTTTGTTTGCACCACCAAGGGACTCTTGACTGCATTTTAGACTTTCTCATTTGCAGGCTGTAACCCAAACTCAACAAAGCCAGGCCCAGTTTGATGCCTTTGAAACAAACAATTAAAGCACTGTTTTTGATGAGTAAATGATCTGTTTGATTCAAATGACCAGTTATTTAGAAGCATATTTTAGGGAAAAAAAAAAAAAAAGACCAATGGCATCCTGACAGACAGTTTATTTTTCACAAAACTTTTGGTAAGGCCTGAAGATAAATGCTTACACCACGAGAGGGACAGCAATAAAGAGATCCACCTACCAGAATCTGAACACTAAGGTGTCAAATTAAAACAACAACAACAATTTTAAAACGGCAGTGTGTCATAGGGAGATAACCCTGATCTTTATAACGTTTGGTACACTTCAAGACAATGATCACATCCTTGATAGTGAAGAGTTAGAACATTCGGCATTTCTAGCCTGAAAGGAAAGTAATTGTCTTAGAAGTTTAGTATTCAGACAAGATTTATTTATTAACAAACCTGAGAGAAGAAACCCCTCTAGTAGTTTCTTTTACTTGTTTCTACATGGATAACTTCTGATTTGTCAAACTTACTACTTCACTGAAGAGAAATAGACTTTACCTTCTAATTTTAAACGGATTGACATGAAGTTTGGAGACATCACACTGGGGTCTTGCTCTGACCAGTTCCTTTGTGGATCTCCAGCGGTCCCACCATGTGGAAATGCTCAGTCTGCCCTTCCTTGGCCACCAAGGGGCTTGTGCCTCTCTTACTCCTCCGTGCACAGCCGGGGGCACAGCGGGAGGAGTAGTCGCCTACTTTGCACACGGCGATCTTACACTGCAGATAGACCACATCGTAGCTGTTGAGAAAGCTAAAGGCGTTGAACTTGAACTGGGCTACATTCTTCTGGCGGGAGTGGAGGTTGGTATAGGTATTGTCTTTGATGCAGCTGAAGGGAAGAAAAACCCCAGGCCAAAGATTAAATTAAAGCATGGCATGAAGTCACTTTGACTCAAAGAATCAGGCTTGGATTCAGACCTCTGGATTCCAAATGGAGTTCTCCCATCCAGTATTCCTTTTATAAAGAAACTTTAGAGGGAAATGTATAGCATTAAATGCATATATTAGAAAAGAAGAGATATCTAAAATCAATAACCCAAGCTTCCAATCTAGGAAACTAGAGAAAGAAGAGCAAATTCATCCTAAAGCAAGCAGAAGAAGGCATGGTTGTTAAATTCCGGCACCAAGCTGAGCCGTTTTCCTTAATTCATCTGTAAGGAGGATTGAAAGGGAAGAGCTTTCTCACCCTGTGACTCACTGCTATTTAGCGCCACATCTGTGTACCGCCCAGAGCCATGGCTCTTACCACCGGTGGAAGGTGCTGCGTCCTGGCCCTCCTCTGGCTCCGGGAAACAAGCTCTCACCAGGCTGCTTCTCGTGAGCTTTAGGCTGCTATGGCTCCCCGCACTCTGAAGTCACCATTGGTTTTGTTGTTTTTATGTCGGTTTCCAATTACCCATTCGTAAGCATTTAGCCCATTAGGGGACAATGGAGCTATAAAGTCAAACAATTTGCCAAAGTTCTGGCCTGGCAAATCCTTTAGTTAACCAGAATAAATCTCACCACTATAACTAAGAGCTTGGCCTGGGCTAACCCACCAGCCCATCACTGTAGGCCAAAAGCACAGAGGGCCTGAACCATGAATGAGGAGTCTAGGAAAACCATAAAACGAGCGGGGAAGGGAGGCTTGGACTGAAAGGGTGCGCTGGGACAGCAGAGTCTGGGCACCAAGGCCAATGTCTAGAACTCTTCGGGGATTCAAGGGAGGTTGTCCAGACTGCCTGTAATGATTTGGGATCAGAGGTGTGGGGGGTGAGGGTCCCAACTCTGCCTCTGGGACGTGGTGAGGATTCTTTTGCACAATGCTGTGGTTTAAAACTACCACTTGACAAGCCACAGACTCCCTTAAGGAACGCCACATGAATCTGATAGGTAACCCGGGAGAGATTTTCGTTCTCCTTACCCCTGCTGGATCAACTCGTACTTGACAGTTGTAAAATCCTGGGGATCTGGAGAAGCCACGCAGGTGTCCACAAAGAGCATCAGGTTGGGATCGTGGCTATGGAGAGTGGCTTGGAGGAAGACCTCTTGCCTCTGGCTGGCATAGTGCGGCTTCATGCTTCCCATAGGATGGGATGTGGGTGACTCGAGGAATGTTATGGACACATCATAGCCAACTCCCTCGCTCAAGATGTCAGCCCCATGAACACCTGCGCCCGCTGAGGGGCGCTCCACCCTGCAGGTGAGCTTGAGCTGAGGCACCTTGTGCCGCACAATGACTCGTCCAGGGTGGCCTTGTATTCGGCCTCTAATGGAGTTGGAGTAGCTGAAGGAGCCAAGGCTTTCCTGTGAGGACAAGAGGAGAGTTGGTGGCCAGAGCTTCTGGCTTCCTGACAAGCACTTCCTGTATAAGCAGAGACTGCTCCTTCACCTTCCTTACTTGGGGCAAATTTACTGACTTGCTGGAGGGCAGGAGCCCTGGGCCTGACCTCTGTGGTCCTTAACCATGAATGGGGTGATGACTTGTCCTCTCCTGGAGTCCAGGGTGCAGGCAGGGAGCCCCAGGTGTGTGAGGGCCAAGCTGGGGTGGCGTGAGGGGCGTGGGAGACCCACCCTGGCTGTGGGTCTCACCGGCTGGGAGCTCCCTCTCTGCCTAACTCCTTCTACACATTCAATTCCCTTGGGCATATTTATTTTCTTAACTTCAATGTCATCGTTTTGTGAAATAAGCAGGTGGTTAAGGAAAATTAAATAGAGATATGTATTTCAATGCACGTAAATATCGAGATATTTGCTTTCCAGATTGCAAAATATAGCTAGCCAACTGGTTAGAAACACAGCAGACAAGCATACAGTCTGTTCCCTCCTGTGCCCAGTGCCATAACTTGTACTTGGTTGTTGTGGTTGTTGGGTGCCGTCGAGTCAGTTCTGACTCATAGCAACCCCATGCACAACAGAACGAAACACTGCCCAGTCCTGCACCATGCTCACAATCATTGTTACGTTCGAGCACATTGTTGCAGCCACTGTGTCAATCCATCCCCTCGAGGGTCTTCCTCTTTTTCACTGACCCTCTACTTTACCAAGCGTGATGTCCTTCTTCAGGGACTGCTCTCTCCTGATAACGTGTCCTGATAACTTCGTCTCACTCTCCTCATTTCTAAGGAAGTGTACTTGGTTGGGGTGTACTAATGTTGACTAAAGAAACATAATGTGAAAAATGCTTTGGTTTTGGAGGTAAGAGAATATCATCCATCCATCCGTCCATCCATTCTTCAGTCCATCAATGCTCAACACTTGTTACTGTGACAAAGGCTTCAATGTGTATCCCGAAAAGAAGGAAAGAAAGTTTCAGACAAACGAGCAAGCTGCTCCAGGTCTCATCAAACTCACAAATGAAGTCCTGGCTCACATGTTTCCTCTGTTTCTATCCAGATTTTTAACAGGTGGTTGAATTTTCCAAACCCTTCTCCTTGGCCTCCATCCATGGGAAGGTGCCACCACCTTGTCAGTTTCTTACCTGCCTGACGGTGCCACAGTGGCCGTAGGGAATGTTGAAGATCAGATAGCGCCCCATGACTTGAGGGCGACACAGCTTATCATTTAAGTGGAGGTCCCAGGAGGAGTAGCCCAGCCTCCGGAGATAGCTTCGGTCAATGATGGCTTGGAAGAGGTTAGGCAGGCAGGAGAGCTGGGCTGCAGAAGGAGGAGAATGGTGAGTCCCTCACAAAGGGACCCTGGCCCCCTGGACATGTAGGTCAGGGGTGTGGGTATATGTTACTTTATAAAAGTACAAGGGACAGTGCCCTAGCTTGGGCTGGCTCTGCTGTCATCATCCCCACCCCTGACTTGACATTCATTGACTTTATTTATTCCCTCCCTTTTCCACAAAGGCTTTGGAGGGAACACTATAACCACAACACACATCCCAAGGGCAGAAGTTAGAGCCTCATCTAAGGAGTTAAAGCGCAGCTCATTTCATATGTTGAAAACACCTGAGCCTGGGCCTTTACAAGGTAAGTTGGAAAAGCAAAGGAGGAGGGAGCATGGGTGCATAGGGGTCTCTTCTCCAACCTCCTAAAGCCCAGTGAGTGGGTGGAACACTAGAGATCTCAATGGAAACACAGACAGCTGCTCTCTCAGCTCCCCCTTTCAGCAGCCTCAGACCCTAGGAGGGGAGAAGAATTTACCATTGTCCTTGGGTACAACAAAGTCAGCCGGACCTGGTGAGGGAGAAAGATGAAGAGCAAACGTGAGCGGTGCTGAGACACTGGAAGATGCTGGTGTAGCCACCAGGAAACATGAAGGGTAAGCAGGCTCCCTTGATTCAGCTTTGAAACCAGAGTATAATGGCATGAGAATACTCGAGGGCAATGAAAAGAAAAGAGGGTCCTGGGCCTTCTGGTGGAACTGGAGGGAAGGATGGTGAATTATGCAAAGTAGTGTTGACAATACAGGTATCATCAGCACCAAGATTTATTGGCGCAAGAGGACAGCAAATACAGGGCTTTGCAGGTCCAAATACCATCACATGAACTCTGGCTGGTGTTTCTTATGGTGCACATGGCACTCTTGGCATTTAAGGCTGGGAAGAGGCAGTTTTTGGCTATCAAAGGCTTTCCCAGCCCAGAAGCCAGTCAGGGCAGTAACTCAGAGCCAAGGCCCAGCCCAGGAAGCATGGCTGGTTGGATTCTCTCAACCTCTTCAGATGCCGCCGGGCCCATTGTATTGGTCCTTTGGACACCTGTTCCTGATGAAAAGGAAGCCCCTTGTGTACATCTCAAGAATGGAAAATGAATTACCATTCAGAATGGGTCCCCCGATGGCACCCGGGATGGCTGGAACTGCAGACAGACACAGTAAAGGGAGAATCTGGGAGGTAAGGACCCCAGGAACCCAAGTGGAGACTCATAGACTTGGCTCTGTGTGATTAATGTCTCCCTTACTGAGGGCTCTGACAGCTTTTCTATTTGAGCCCTATTTCTATGTGAAACAAAAGTTACTCCCGTTTAAAGGCAAAAGCGATGATAGCAATGCCTTTAACTGTAAAAAACTAAGAATGGAACAGACAAGGTGACCGCTGATTTGCTCACCAAATCTTAGAATTTTGCAACCCCTTGAGACTTACCGTGGGTAAATGTAAGGAAGTTCAACTCTACACAGAAGGTGGTCACCTATGGAACTCCGAGCGTCAAGACAGATATAGGCTAACAATACAAAATATTCCAGGAAACGGATAGGCCAAGATGAAAGGGCTACGAGGGAACCCAGGCTATAATAGGGTGTCTTTCTGACTCCCGAGGGCTTGGTCAAGGTGAAGGACAGTGTCCACACAGAGTTGTGTCCTTGATGCCCTTATCAGAGATTGAAAAGTGGACTGGACAAATTGTAGTCTGACAGCAGCAACTTCTATCTCCTTAATCATTTTATTACACTGTTACTCCATCCTTTGACCTCATAATCCTTTAGCTATATTTCAGAACAAAAAGACTAAAATTGTGCTGTATTGGAATTAGACAAAACTGATTAATAAAAGCCGAAGCGTATATAATTAAAACATTTACCACAAAGCTTCTATAACACCAGTAGTAAACCAGCTGCTGTCAAGTCCATCAAGTCAACTTGGACGCACGGCCAACCCATGTGCATCAGAGCAGAACTGTGCTCCGTGGGGTTCTCAGTGGTTGATTTTTCAGAAGTAGGTCTCTAGTCCTTTCTTCTGAGGTGCCTCTGGGTGAACTCCAACCTCTAACCTTTCCTTAGCACCTGAGCACTGTTAACCACCCAGGAACACTTTATACAACACACACACACACACACAAAAAAAAATCAAACCCATTGCCATCGAGTGGATTCCGACTTATAGAGACCCTACAGGACAGAGTAGAACTGTCCCATAGGGTTTCCAAGGAGCACCTGGTGGATTCAAACTGCCGATCTTTTTAGTTAGCAGCCTGACACTTAACCACTGCACCACCAGGGCTCCTTATACAACACATAGGCCCTAAATTGTTTCTTGTTATCCTTGGATCTGTGGACCCGGCCAAATCCGATATTCCTTGGGGCTGTGAATTTTGACCTTGGAATGCATGGAGAGGAAGGAAGGCCTCACGCAGTGGGTGGTCCCCCGCATGATGATGAGGAGGGGGGTATGTGGCAGCGAGCTCCGTACCTTTGCACACCACGCCTGCGTCCTCGCTGTGACGGCAGTTGTGGTGAGCCCAGCCCAAGTGGGCACAATGCTCCAGCGCATCCTCGTTGCCCACGCAGTGCACATCGTCCAGCAGGATGGGCCCCAAACCTGGGCCGAAGTGGCCGTGCCCCAGGGCATGCAGCGCATGGCCACATCCCAGAAGGCGGCACACGACCCGGGCGTTCTTGATGTTCCAGTGGTCATCACACACCGTGCCCCACATGCCGTGGTGCCGAACCTCTACGCGGCCCTGGCACCGGCTCCACCCACCCGCCAGGCGCAGAGGCAGGTCTGAGGAAGGTAAGAGAAGGATTCAGGTGAGAAGAAACTCCTTGGCTAGGTTTCTACCATCCATGGCATTTCAGCATCGTTTGTTATTTGCAATAGAAGAAACTAACACTAGAAGGCATTCCATGAGAGAGTGCTCTGAATGGAAAGCGACCTGATGGTATCCAACAGCAACAACATGTGAGGAGATGTCTGCAGGGGATATCTGAGCAAGTGTCTTCTGAGTAAGAGACCAGAGAGACTATGTTACCAAGGAGCAAACAGGATGTGAAAAACCACTCCTCATCATGGGCACACAGCAAGCTAGGATGCTCAGGGACACCATGGGCCATTAGAGGGTAATGTGTGTGAGTGGAGTTCAAGGGCTGGAGGTCAGTCGATGAGGGGCAGAATGAGCCAAGGGCTGAGCAACATCTCAGCGTGTCTATGGCACACAGGAGCTGGGGTCATACGAAGGGAGGACCGTTCGTATCAGTGGAACATGGACGAGACCTAGGAAGGTGGAGGAACAGAATTACCTGAGCATGTGATGATCCCCGACCCCAAACACAGACTGGCTAGGGGGACTTTGCCTTGACTACTCGCTGTGTTGGGAATATTCTTTCCCTAGGTGTTTGCAGGCTAATTCCCTCACCTCCTTCACATCTTTGTTCAGATGTCACCGTCTCCGTGACGCTTATTCTGATACCCAGATTAAAATCGCACCCCCATCAGCTCTTTCAATCCTCCTTTCCTGGTCTACTTTTTATTTTTTCCATAGCGCCAATCACCTCTTAAACACCATAAACTTTGCTTATTATGTTTATTGTTTATTGCCTGTATCCTCTCTGGAATACAGAGAAGTTTAGGTGCTCAATCAACATTTAGTGAGTGACTAAAAGTATTAAGAAAATAGATTCAATGGGAGAGTAAATGGTGGGATCATACCTTCCCTCCCAGCCCCACCTCAGGAAAGAGAGTCCAGCGGGGTGCGTGTAAGGGCCCATGAAGAGGAATGGCGGCAGGAGGGAGATGCTGTGAGTGGGAGAGGTGAAACAGCTAGGTCAGAAGGCCATGTAGTGGCAGAAGCTACGTCTCTGGGAGCACAGCACCCTGACAAATCCCGGCTTGTGGCAGAGGCATTGGCACCCACAAGACAGAGGCCACCTGTACACCTATATGCTCATACTGACTCCCTGAGAAGAACGTTAATATGGGGTAGATGCTGTTTTAGAGTTCTGAGACATTTCTGTAAATAATATACACCGGCCCACAGAGGTGTGTGGGTGCCCGCACACATCTGGGTCTGCACATACATGTCTAGAAGCTCATGGAATTTTTCTGTAAAGGAGAAGAAATTTGATTGTAAGAGAAATATGCACTTTATGGTATTAATAGAGATACAGTAATGTTAGTGCTTAGAAACAAACAAAAATTACCATTTAAAGGGGCCATTTCTGCACCAACTGAAATTGTACCTGTGAAAAAAGAGAAAAAAAATTAAGCTTTAAAAAACACGTACCCGCTAGTGGTGGTGGAATGATGTGGAAAAGGATGGGGTAACGGTTGTACAACTTGATGAATGTAATTAATGCACTGAATTGTACATGTAAAAATGATTGAATTGGAAAATGTCTTGTTATATGTATATTTTCCACAATAAAAAACGCATACCCTCGAAGTCTCTTACTTATAGTCAAAGCTGATAAAGAATCAAGCATTTTCTCTAATTTCAGACACCGATGCTTTTGTTTATGCTTCTACTTTGGTTTGGATATAGAAATACTGTCCATAAAGTTTTATTTCTTGGCATCGAAATTTGACAAGTGATGGTGTATCTTGCTGATTATCCAAATATAAAAGAATTTGTTAAATTATCAGAAAAAAAGCTTTATGAATATGCTGAGGTTTTGTAAGGAAGAATAAAAAAGTGTTAAGGTTTGTAGACACCAGTTTTACAGGGGCTGAAAAAGAAAATCAAGTCATCAAGAAATATTTCCAGATAAGAGAAAGACCACATCTAAAAGTGTGATTACATATTAAAAATATACAGAGGAAGGTAAGGTAGGAAATTTAACAATGGATTAATGATAGAGTATCGTGGTATAAATTATTATGAAATTGAGTGTTAATCTAGCAGCAGGTACATGATCATTACCAGGTAACGCTGTCACTTTTGTTGGAAGTGGATCTGTGGCTGCAAAACAAAAAAACAATAAACCTGTAAAAACTCATTGCTGTCAAGTCGATTCCAACTCATGGCAAGCCCATGTGTTACACTATCTTATTTCTACCCCAGTTATTTATCTGATCCTGGGCAAAACTTTTACTTTCTAAGTATTTATTTCCTCTGTAAAAACAGAGACTATAGTGTAATCTATTCCAGAGGGTGGTGTGAGATTCCATAAGGTCATGTATAAGGTGCCCATACTGAGCAAATGCTATACAGACGTTAGTTACTGTCCCACCACCATAACTACCACTGCCATTATCACCACCTTTTTCTTCTTGTTGTTCTCTTCCTCCTCCTGCTCCTTCTTCTTCCTCCTCCTCCTCCTCTTCTTCTTGTTCTTGTCCTTCTTCCTTTTCTTCTTCTTCCTTCACCTCCTCCTCCTCCGCCTCCTCTTCTTGTTTTTGTTGTTCTTGTCCCTGTCCCTCTCCCTCTTCTTCTTCCTTCTCCTCCTTCTCTTCTTCTTCTTGTTCTTGTCCTTGTCTGTCTCCTTCTTCTTCTTTTTCTTCTTCCTTCTCCTCCTCCTCTTCTTCTTCTTTTTGTTGTTCTTGACCTTGTCCTTCTTCTTCCTCTTCCTCATCTTCCTCTTGTTGTCCTTGTCCTTCTCCTTCCTCTTCTTCTTCCTTCTTCTCCTTCTTTTCTTGTTTTTGTTCTTGTCCTTCTCCTTCTTCTTCCTCCTCCTCCTCTTCTTGTTGTTCTTGTCCTTCTTCTTCTTCCTTCTGCTCCTCCTCTTCTTCTTGTTGTTCTTGTCCTTGTCCTTCTTCTTCCTTCTCCTCCTCCTCCTCCTCTTCTTGTTGTTCTTGTCCTTGTCCTTCTTCCTCTTCTCCCTTCTCTTCCTGGTCTTCTTGTTGTTTTTGTTGTTCTTGTCCTTGTCCTTCTTCTTCTTCCTTCTCCTCCTGCTCTTCTTCTTGTTCTTGTCCTTCTCCTTCTTCTTCTCCTCCTCCCCCTTCTCTTGTTCCTTCCCCTCCTCCTCCATCTTCCTCCTCCTCATCTCTAAGATGGTTGTCATCCTCTCCTGGGGAAACAAGAAGTGTTTACCCTTGGTATGTAAGTCCTTTCTGGGCTGGGAGTTTCTTCAAAAGTCACCAGGGTTACTGCAAGGGGCAGAGAGCATACCTGGAGAAGAAGCTTCTTCATCTGAAGTGGGAGTTGTATCTGCAAATAAAGAAGAACCAAACTCATATGTCAGTGGAAATAAAATGCAATATTTTGGTTTGACCAACAGAGTGGATGAAGTAGTCTTTAAGAAATTAGTGGCTGAAATAGAAGAGCAAAAGGGTAGAACCAACACTACAGCAACCTGGTTCTAGTGTGTACATTTATTTCAATGCGCTGGCTGGATCAAAGCTTCATTGAAGGCAACACACACTCCTCCAGGCAGGTGGAGGTGTGGACCCCCAGCCTGACTTTTTATGTGCACATCTGATCAAGTCCAGAGCCACAAGCAGACTCGGTCCCTAGTGGAGGGGCCACTTCTGTGTCTACAGATGAACAAAGAGAACACGGAGCTTAATTTCTAGTGAAAAGGACACTGAGTTTTCCATTTACATTGGGGCTTATACTGTAGATAAAATGTTCACTTGTCACATAGAAAGAGGGAAAGTTGATCATATTTAACTTAAGAAATCTGGCAGGCAGAAAACACTACCTGAGGGAGTGTCCATTTCTGCAGAGTCTGAAGATGCATCTGTGTGTAAACAGAGAGAACAGGACTGAATAACAAGTGGAAGGACGCTCGAACGTGTCATTTTTCGTTGAGGTTTAGTTTGTGGTCAAAATGGCCATTATATAGGCTTATTTTCTAAATGTGTTTGTTGTTGTTAGTTGCTGTCGGGTCGATTCTGATTCATGGCCATCCTATGTGAGCAGAGTAGAACAGCTCCATAGGGTTTCAAGGCTGTGGCCTTTCAGAAGGAGATTGCCAGTCTGTCTTCTGAGACACCTCTGGGTGAGTTTGAACAGCCAACCTTTTGGCTAGTAGTCGAACACTTAACCATTTGTGCCACCCAAGGGAATTTGATCACATTAAACAGCACAGTGTGAGAATCTTTACCAGATGGCGAGGTCACTTCTGCTGAGGATGAAGAGGTATCTACAGATAAAGGGAAGAAGAAACGTAAATACTAGTGAACAAGACTCCTAGGTTTCTGTTTCTACTGAGACTTATGTTAGGACAAAATTTTCATGAAACAGCCTAGTTTGCCAAATAGAATTCCAAGAAGGGACACTTAATGGGACAGCACAGAGCATTTTACCTGGTGCAGAGGGCACAGTTGTTGACCTTGAAGCTGAAGCTGAATAAAAATAAAAACGGTTGCAATAAGACAGCTGCATTAGGCACGTTTCTAGAAGGTGCAGGAGACACAAAGGTGGCCATTGTAGATCAGTGGGACTGGCCAGGCATCATGTCCTGCCATCCAGACAAGGCACCCTCCAGTGTCTCCAAGCCTCCCTACCCTCCTCAGGCTCCATTCCTCTTGCCCCATCCTTACTTCTCCCCTTAGAGGTGGAGCGGATTACATGTTCGGAGGGCAACAGTCCAAGTCTTTCCACTGTGTGGGGCTAATCTCTCAAAGATTCTACGAATGGGGGATTTGCTTCCCCCTGTCTCCTTCCTTTCCCCTCAAACTGGTGGGAGGCGGTGGAATGAAGACTGAAATCTTCCCTAGGTGGGCTGTTCCAAGATCTAGACTGAGGGGCTAACAGGCCCACTTGGCTCTCGTACTGTTGTCCTCCAATCCAGCTTTATAAGTAACAAAGGCCATATTTTGGTGCTCCATCTGCTGACTCTGATGTTTTATTTCTCCATTAGTATTAATAGAGATAGAATAATTTTAGTGCTTAGAGAAAACCAAAAATTGTCAGGTAAAGGGGCCATTTCTGCACCAACTGGAACAGGGAAGAACATCCTCTTTATTGGCCTCACTCAACACTCTGTACGTAAAGTTCTTGAACCCAGAGTCACACTAGGAACTCCTCAGATAATTCTAAGCATCATTCTCTAGAAACTACTCCACCAGAAGTGAGTTACTTGTTATCTCAGTCAGCTCTGCACCCTCACTGCCTTGGTCCAGAGCTCGGTGAGTGGTCAGCTTCCACCTGTTTGAACATCTAAGGATGCTAATATCTAATGCTGCTTGAATATCTAAGAAGGGTCAGTTAAAGCCATTCAAGTAACACCCACTTGGTGACTGGTCTCCAGGAAAAGCTCCATGGACTAGAGTAGGTGATTACGTTAGACCACCAGGCACTCCAGCAAATGATTAATTCCTCATTGATTTTGTGGACTTGACCATCTGTTTGGCTGAACAGTTGAACTAATTTTCCCCTTGGCCTGTGTGTTTATCTGTATTTCCCAGAATTCATTTACTGTTGCGGGACCCAGAGATGGCCTTTATGAATCAGCTCAATATAAAGGTATTAAAAAATCTCAAGACAAAAGATTATTAAAGAATCAAAGAATTTTACCAGGACATAAACAGTGGCTTAATGAGATCACTGGAAAACAAAATAAAATAATTTATAGCAAGCAAGATGTAACCCAAGACGACATTAAAATTACCTATTAAACGGGTTACAACAATATTCAAAGATGCTGGAAATTAGAAAAGGTAATTGATTAAAACCTACCAAATGACACACAAGAAATGTTTTATTGGTAACTTGTTTTCTTCTCTCTGGAGCACAGACACCATGGTCTTCATTTATTTAATCAACAAATATTGATTGATCATCTACCCTGTGCCAATCACTGTGCTCAGTACTGGGGTAAAACAGTCAACAAAATTAGGCACGATACCTGCTCTTAAAGAGTGGACCGTCTGTGGGAAGGACAGATATGATCAAATGATCACACAATAAATGTAAAATTGCAGCTGTGACAGTGCTGCGTAGGAGGGATATGTGATGTGCGGAGAACCTACAGTAAGGTGATCCCACTTGGCCAGGGAGGGGCCCTCTCCATCCTGTTGACTCTCCCCCTACCACCTTCTGCCTGGCACAGGGTGTTGTCTGGACTAGGCGCTCTGGTCAAAGACAATGACGACTTGATACCACACTGCCCACAGCTCTTCCAGGCTTGGTCCCACCCCATGGCATGAGAATAGCCATCTTGCTCTCCCATTTGCCTGCATTTGCAGTGCCATGGGCAGCGGACATTACCGGATGAGGGTGTCACTTCTGCCAAAGTAGATGTTATGCCTGGATATGAAACACAAAAGGAATGTTGGTCAATTTTTAAATTTTGTTTCTGGTTACACACAATTCTGTCTTTCCTATGGGCTCGTTTACTAGGCTTTGTTGTTGAAAAAATTCAAGCATGAAGACTAAGTATTTCCCGCCCCCTGAAAAAAAGTTTAGGTACCCAAATTAAAAACACATAAACTGTTATAAATTAAAACACTCTCAGAATGAAACATGTTTCTCTGCCCTTTTAAGCAAAAGATAAAGGACATATTTTAACCTACATAATTCTGGCTCATTATGAAGAATATCATTGTTGTTCAGGGTTGTAATACAGTGATGTCTCAAAGGACATTGAGGTAAGTGGGCATTTTTGCTCCATGTCAGCTCATTTAGAAAGTTCGGTGACATTTTACATTTCTTTCTTTTTTTTTTTTGAGCTCTCTGTGGCTGTTAGGCTATCTGCTACATTTCCTGTCTTAAAATCCGGTACTTGTATCAGGCTCCCCGCTTCCAGGCTTTGAGCCCCCTCCCCAATTTATCTCTTCTAATATACAGTCAGTAGGGAGTGGTGCTGTGGTTAAAGCCCTGGGCTGCTAACCGAAAGATCAGTGGTTCGGACTTCTCAGCTGCTCTGTGGGAGAGAGATGTGGCCGTCTGCTTCTGTAAATATTTACAGCCTTGGAAAGGCTATGGGGCAGTTCTACTCTGTCCTATAGGGTTGCTATGAGTCAGAATCGACTTGGTGGCAATGGGCTTGGGTTTTGGTTTAGGGAGACCAGATAGCCAATTGTTACATGTGTGTACAAGGTATGAACAACAGGCTTCCAACAAACAGGCTCTGTGAATACTCCCCATGTGTGTTTGAGCACTTGAGCTTGAACACTGGGGCTTCACTTTGGCTGGGTAGAGGCCCTCTTTGTCTACTTCTGGGTTCTAGTCTATTTTCCAAGGGATTACTTCAGCTAGCAAGTGACTCCTGGATAAGTGGGGGTATAACCATGCTCTCTCAGGAGAATTTCAACACAGCAATATCTCTTAGATAGGCAGTGAGGGGACAAGTCAGCAGAAAACTTATTACCAGTTGGAAGGACC